AATCACATACAACACTGAATAAAGATGTGAATATTTAGCCTGAGTATCAGGCCTTCCTAAGGGGCTAGAGGACAGGAGATTTTAGATTTTAGATTGGGGAGCTCTCTCCCTTTTTCGCTTCCATTTTTTCCCTTTTCCCCCCAAAACGCCTGATACTCAGGCTATGAATATTTAACTACCTTCATTGGAGTGAAACATGGAGTGACACAAAACGAACACTGTCGAAGTGATTCATTCTGATATGGTTTACATATCAACAGGGGCTAATAAAAGCTCCTTAATACTTCAATTTGCAGTTCTATTTTGAATTTAACCAAGTGATAATTTATTTAAACTACTTCCAGTGACGATAATGGTAGTATAGTAATCTGTCTTGTGAGGTGTTAGTATGTCGTATATAGAATCCTTTCGCTCGCGGCCAACCGGCATCATAAAAAAGACTACGTAGTGAGTGATTTTAAAATCTGGTTTGCCAACAAGCTTCTGGTTAATCTTGTGCAGTGGTCTCTATCGAATTTCAATGACGCGCGTACGAGTGGTGCTTCTCTGACAGGTGGAGGTCTAAAGAAATTTTGTTGTCAACAGGAAAATGATTCTTATTTGATTTGGTTTATATATATTAAGGATGAACAACAATAAATTTCTTTTTTTTAACACAGCAGTAAGAAAACTAATCTATAGTTTTTTGTACTTTTAGGATTTTCAGTGCCTGACTAGCTCAGTTTAATTGTTCCAGTTCAAGCCTACCGTTGCCGGAAAAAAGCTGTATCTGGATAACTTACTTGCTTTAATCAATAAATGAGGACTTAAATTGACCAGCTTCACAGTCTTTTCTTACACACACAATAAACATAATTACCCTTATAAGAGATGAGGCCTGTGCTATGAAGCCACACCTGGTGACTGTTCGGCGAGCTTGCGCGAAGAGCTTTTGTGATCGCATACAACTGCAAGAAGTCACAGGCCGCAAAAGCTCACCAATGCCGGACAACTAACACTCGGACTGAAATGATGTTAAAAAACAAAAAGCCACAAACCATTTATAGGTATTTAGTGTTTTTGTATGTTCTCCTAAGTAACAAGAAAATAACAGTAGACGTTTTTAGGACTGGGTGTTACGTTCCAAACAATACTGAGACAAAAATCAGTCTGCAGGATATTTTTTTCTAAAATCACGCATAGCCCCCCACCCCTTTTAAAAAGTCAAATGGTCGACCCTAATTAGGAATGCGTCTGAGGTGGCGTTGCATTCCAAGAAGATAAACAGTTCAGTTGGACACCTCACGTACTGACTGAACACCGAAAAAGGTAACTCTGTGTTTGATTCAGTGTACTGTAGCAAGCAGTTGAGGGTCATTACTCTTGAAAGGGAAGAGTCACCTCGTTATAAATAGACTATTTCGGAAAAATCAAGTACTGGCATATTTGCATTCCAAATTACTGTCAACTTAGCCTGTTCCAAGCGTTCAGATAGTGGAGAGCGGTGTGGAGTAGAGAAAGCGATGAAAAGTAGAGGGGGACTCCCTCGCTTTTACTTTTTCGTGCTCCCTTTTACTTTGCACTGCTCCCCACTATCTGAACGCCTGGAACAGGCTACTGTCAACTGAATGCACCCTTAAGGCATGATCATTACAAACACCCCCCTCTTGTCTCAATTTACGCCTGTCACGTCCACGTACTCACTAATAAATTTGTATTAATAAAGGCCTTAAGATTTTTGCCAGTCTGTGGTTCTTCAGAGCTGAGATAAGGAACTCCTTGTTCGATTGGAATCCTCACGCAAATTCATCGCCAACATAAGTAAGTCTGTGTTTGATTTGTAGCAGCCAGTCAAATTTCGTGACCATTCCTGACTTTTTCATCAGTTGCTGAAAAAACTAGCCGTTGTTGAGCGGTTATTTTGGCAGCTGGGGACACGTTTCAGTGGCCGTTGCCGTTGTCCCGGCATAGTAAATCGAACGTTCGAAAATCGAACTCAATCGAACTCAATCGAACTCAATCCGTGGATTGAGTTCGATTGAGTTCGATTGAGTTCGGCAATCGAACGAAATCGAACACCACACTTTCAGTGAGTTCGATTTCCGAACAAATCGAATTCAATCGAACAAATCGAACTGAATCGAACTCAATCCGTCTGATTGTGTTCGATTGAGTTCGGAAACCTAACTCAATCGAACACAATTAAATGGATTTCGTTCGATTGGCTCTGGTGAACCTATACAAAGCAAGCCCAAAGCAAGCCCGTCAAAGCAAGTTTTTCTTGCGCTTTTTTTACTATTTACTCGATAACACAAACCCCATTTATAAACTGTCCACGGCAGTTAAGCAGGGTCGTAACATGGTATATCCGGGGCCCACTGATCCCTATTTTCTTGCGGTTATTTTGATCCCTGAGCCCCATTTTCCCCAAAATTTTGATCCCTGAGCCCTGATAAAAGCATTGATCCCATCCATGTGTTGACACAAAATTTTAACTTAGGCAACTTTGTGAGGTTACAAACGCAGTCGTAAACGGCAGGAAAAGGGAAGCAAATACGATTGAACTCAACAGACAAGAATAAAGAACAGGTAGATTTTGTTAATAAACCAAATCAACATTTAATTATTGAATCGAGGTCCAATTTGATTGTTGGATTATTCATTTTATGAATGGATTATTGAATCAACAAACGAAATCATTTTTCCATTAATGAATTCATTAGTTTGCTAGTGACGGGAACGCTTGACCTGGTTTGACTGTAAGCGGAAATTACATTGTGATGAGATTTTTAGACCGTGTAATAAATCTGATCCCTGATTCGGGCTCAAAAGCGTCGTGATCCCTGAGCCCTGATCCCAATCATATTTTGGGCTTTGAGCCCTGAGCCCATATACCATGTTACGACCCTGAGTTAAGAGAACAGAACAGAACAAACCCTTAAAACTTCGCCATCCTTGACGTCAAAGCGGCATTCTGGTAGCCTTTGATTATACATTTGAGGCTTACGATCCACAACGCATCTGAAGCCATTTCTGCGGAATTTCTTCGTTTACGAAAAACACGTGCGCTACACTCAGGGCTGAAGTAACTCGAGCTTCTAAGATCTGCTAATGGATTTTCAACGTCTGTTTTACATAAATCACGAGTTCGAAAATCAAACGTTCGATTGGGTTCGATTAATTTTTTTTCTTTTCGCTGAGTTCGATTTCGTTCGATTGCCGAACTCAATCGAACTCAATCCACCGATTGAGTTCGATTGAGTTCGATTGAGTTCGATTGAAATTTAGTTCGACTGGGTTCGATTTACTATGCCGGGCGTTGTAGAGAGATTTAAGAAAGAGTTAATGTATTCTGGCCGCCGAGACAAAAAAAGTGACCTTTGTAGAGAGGTAACCGTTAGTGGAAGTTCGATGACTTTAATTGATGTCGACTTTTTTGGTGAATCTCAGTTTAAATTTGAACTATATGCCATGTCTTTTATTTTTTTTATTAGGTACTGTTTTCCTGCACAATTTTAGAGCTGAACTGATCATGGGTCCGAAATTCTTTGTCTTTATTTTCTTTCTTTGCCTTTGTGGTCTTATGGTATCCTATCCGCCTAGACCGCGGGCGTCGCCGCCTGTTGGTTTGCATGACATAAAAAAGTCGCCAAAGTACCGACGATCCATTGAGAATCTACAGAACCCACGACCACAAGGAGCTCATGGCAAGAAGTTTCGTGAGAACGATGTCAATATTGCTGAGAAGTGAGGTAAGTATAGCCTCATGCTGCGATAACACTGGCTTCATAAATTACAGTCACAAAAATGTTTTCCTTCATGAGGCATCCCACCCTCGACAAACCCATCTCAACTGTATTTACTTTAATTCAGCAACTATTGTTTTGGTTAAATAAATAACTGAACTGAGTTTTGAATTCATCAATGATTATGCCCGACACACCTGTGGACCGGAAGTGTGCCTGTATCGATCTGTATCAAGGAGTAAGTTTCACCTGTTCTTCGCTCTAAGCTTCAATAAGCGACGAGGAAGAGTTGAAAGGCGACGAAAGGAAAGCAGATAGGAGTCTATCGCGTAATACCTTTTTGTTTAGCATAAGCTTGTTCTGAAGTGCTCGTATGCTCTGTCAAATCAAACTACGTGACCATCTCACACTGAACAAGAGACTTAACAAGAAGTGTTTTTAAACTAACCACCTTATAAGAGCAATATTTCTGATCAATCACGCAGTGAATGAATCAAATTGTCTTCAGCGCTCACACACACGTAAGTGCGTTCACCTTTGCCGCTTTGAGTTTAAGCACGACACACCCAGCTGGGGTTGCTTCTCTGATATATATTTTAAAACTTGCCAGGTATCCTCTGAGGAAACTTTGTTTGTTACTAAGAAAGCGACAAGATGTGCTTGGAGCCGAACTGAAAGAAAATCACTTGTACCTTATATATTTAGCATGCAATTAAATTAGGTTTTGTGAATACATGAACGATGTGATCGGTAGCTGATGTATGTATTTGCAGGGCTTCAAGTGGCTGAAGGCACACCAGAAAGGCTGTCAAGATATCTTAACACTTATAGGAATATCTACATAAGTAATTGTTATTACTGTCGTAAAAACATGCAGCAAGTGTATCTGGATAACTTACAAGTTTAAATCAAGAATTGAAAATAACCAGTTTCAAGATCATTCCATGTCATTCAGTCTGTAGAAATTTCCATGTTGATTTTCTTAAAAGGATGTAAGTTATTCTTGTTGTGGCATATATCAATAAACAGAGGTCAACCCCTTTCAGGAATTGGCTTTGTAAGCGTTCAGATTTGAAGTCACACGGGTTAGATGATACTCCTTTAAACAACCAAGCCCAGAAGCGGAGTTCAATTAAATTATCTGCTGAGTAATTTATAGTCAAGGAATAATAATCTGGTGAACTATGAACCAAAAAAGCAAAAATGCTTCATGTTTGGGTTCAAAAAATGGCCACATAAGTACAAGTATAATGTATATTTTTTACAATCAATTCATTAAGACTTTTTGAAGAAACTTGTCAGCGAGGATTGTTTCACTCCTTTGCCTTTCATGTCACTGTGCGTCTTCTTAGCGCCGGTTTTCTTGACCGGTGATGGCCGCTTCTCGTAAGACACGGGTGGTTTGATAATTATTTGGGGTTCATCATCACTCGCATCTGTGGACTCACTTTCCCAAACTTTCTCAGTCACTGTAAGAAAAAAAAAATAGAGAACCTTAAGATCTAACGACGGTGACGGCCACGCGAACGTCAAAAGAGAAATAGGTTTAGATTGGCAAAACAACAACTTTGCACGTGCATCAGGTTTTTTTAGTAAAATACGATGTGAAAGTGCCTAATTTCACTAACAATTCAACTCCAGAAGAATTCGCCTATTCTTGACAAAGTAAGTTAGTTGGAATAATCGCGATAAAGACTGAAAATCGCGAATTCACCACTTTCACAAGGACCATAATACACCTTTTTTGCCCCCCCAAATTTTGCATATCCGTTGTTTTCAATTTCTCCTGGGTATTACAGCCGTCTCTAGAGAAATCCAATACGATGGTTATGCAAAATTTGAAGGGGGTAAACAAGATGCATCATGGTCTATGTGCAAATGGTGGATGCACTTCTACGTGACGTTTCGCCGACGTCACTGTTCTCGGAAAAATGTTAGTCAACAATCTACCAAAACATTCGTCTAGTCAAGTCGACACAGGACACATGTAACCTTCATCGTTTACGAAGGTTTTGAATTTCATCACTTTTTTTTGCTTCCGAGCGGGCCTACTCGCTTCTTTAACTGCGGTTTGCTGTTGCTGCCGCTGTTACATTTTATAAATCATTAGCTTTCACATGCAGGTTCAAAATTCATTACCATCCTAATTATTTTTCTCGGCAGTCTCTGCATAATAGAAGGTCTTTATATCCCAATTTTGCATTTAATCACTGAAACTATGAGGGTGGAATAGACTGATAGATTGGCTGCAACGAGTAAGAAGGAATGGACAGCAATAGAACAAGGAAAAGAGAGGATGGGAGTCCATCGTGTGTTGTTATATTTGTGATTACACCAATATGTAAAACGTTTAAAAGTATGAGATTTCCGTCAATCAAACGATACCGTAGCCTGAATTTCATCCGATTACTTCGAGTCGTTATTATTAGAGGAGAAAACGACTGGAAGCAATTGGATCAATTTCAGGCTAACGATACCGAATCAGCGGTGCCGGTACCTTTTACGGGGACGAGACTTTCAAAACAGGGCTTCACATTCTCGACGAAGTGTTAGGTAACCTGTTATCGAAGAAAAACAAAATCACATACAACACTGAATAAAGATGTGAATATTTAGCCTGAGTATCAGACCTTCCTGAGGGGCTAGAGGAGAGGAGATTTTAGATTTTGGATTGGGGAGCTCTCTCCCTTTTTCGCTTCCATCTTTCCCCTTTTCCCCCAGAAACGCCTGATACTCAGGCTATGAATATTTAACTACCTTCATTGGAGTGAAACATGGAGTGACACAAAACGAACACTGTCGAAGTGATTCATTTTGATATGGTTTACATATCAACAGGGGCTGATAAAAGCTCCATAATTAATACTTCAATTTGCAGTTCTATTTTGAATTTAACCATGAGATAATTTATTTAAATTACTTCCAGTGACGATAATGGTAGCATAGTAATCTGTCTTGTGAGGTGTTAGTATGTCGTATTTAGAATCTTTTCGCTCGCAGCCAACCGGCATCATGAAAAAGACTATGTAGTGAGTGATTTTAAAATCTGGTTTGCCAACAAGCTTCTGGTTAATCTTGTGCAGTGGTCTCTATCGAATTTCGATGCCGAGCTTACGAGCGGTGCATGCTTCTCTGACAATGGAGGAAAACAATACGGCCCGAGGTCTAAAGAAGTTTTGTTGTCAACAAGAAAATGATTCTAATTTGATTTGGTTTAAGGATATAAGGCAACAATAAATGTTTTTTCAGCACAGCATTGAGAAAACTAATCTATAGTGTTTTTGTACTTTCAGGATTTTCAGTGACTGACTAGCTCAGTTTAATAGTTCCAGTTCAAGCCGGACAACTCACCACATATGGGAACATCTTCATGAGTTGTTACTGCTGTCGTAAAAAAAAAGCTGTATCTGGATAACATACTTGCTTTATATAATAAACAAGGGCTTAAAAAATTGACCAGTTTCACAGTCTTTTCTTACACACACAAAAAACATAATTACCCTTATATGAGATAAGGCCTGTGCTATTACCGGGACCACACATGGTCACTGTTCGGCGAGCTTGCACGAAGAGCTTTTGTGGCCTGACTTCGTGCGGTTGTGTGCGATCCATCAGTAACAACTCAAGGATCGCAGACAACTGCAAGAAGTCACAGGCTCCAAAAGCTCACCAATGCCGGACAACTAACACTCGGAAAATGATGTTAAAAAACAAAAAGCCACAAACCATTATGTACTTAGCGTTTTTGTATGTTCCCCTAAGTAACAAGAAAATGACACGGGACGGTCTTAGGAGTGGGTGTTAGGTTTTAAACAATACAGCCGACAATACTAAGAGAAAACTGCGTTTTGACGAAGTTGAATGGAGTCAAAGTTTGCCGGAAATTCATTTCGGGATTCGAAATCAGATGAAATATGAGGCCAGCTTTTCCATGTATATGACCCAAAACTTCACGGTATTTTCAGGCAGCGAACTTTGTTACAATGTGCATTATCAAGAAAGAAACTGAGATATTTTCTTAACGACGTAACAAATTTATGATCAAAGACCCCAAGGAAGCAGAAGAATAAAACGGAATAATAACCTCACTGTTTGTGGCTCTTTCAACAAAGCAAATGGAGGACTTTGTAGGTGACAATCTTGACGATATATAAACACAAAAAGACCAGACACTTGTTTTAAAAGCGGTTCATTTGCGACTGGAGTAGAGAGGAACGATTTGGTGGATTTCCTTACAAGAAGAAAGCGAGAAAACGGTTCCTAAATTTCTCACTCGCCATAAACCTCTCATGCGAACAGTTTGCCTAAAGCTTTTTGGATGATATATAATATCAGTTGAATACACCCTTGAGCGATATTATTCCTAAACGGTCCGTCTCCCTTTTTACCTCGGCCACTCAGTCATGTATTTATACATACAGACAATATCGGAATAATCCAGAACTGCCGGGACATATTTGCATTCCAAATGACTGTCAACTGAATGCACAGTTAAGCGATGATCATTACAAACACCCGCCTCTCGTCTCAGTTTACGCCTGTCATGTCCACGTAGTCAACAATAAATTTGTAAAAGGCCTTAAGAGCGGATGTCAGTAAATATCGACCAGAGGTCTACAAAAGTGAAAAATCGAAAATCCTCAAAAAAATTCACAAAGTAGCACTAGGTAAGCTATTAACATAAATGTAATTTTCACTTCGATCCGATAATTATTTTCCACGTACGGGGGGGTTATTGGTTTTGCGGCTCTCGGACCGGGTTTTCCAGGCCCGAGACCATGTGTAACAAAAAAATCGTTTTAAAATTCAAATCCATTGTAATGTGGACAACAAATAACTTATTCAGAAGAGTACTTAATTGCACACATTCTAAGTGGTGATTTACTCAGTTTGAACGAAAGTGTAATATTTTGGAGATTTTTCATTATTTTCAATATTTTGAACGTTTTCGTTCAATGAAAAAATAGCAAATTTCAAAGCCTAAAATCGTCGACTGGTACCTCGATTTCAGTAACGAGTCTTATACCACGTTAAAGAGCGTTATCTCTTCTTTCAAAATCTGTTTTCAAAACTACGGGCAACTTAAAAGAAAATGTTTGAGGCCAAAAAATACTAGTAGTACTTTTCTGAAATTTGAGCTTTCCAGACTCAGCGGGTCGATGCTAAAAACTCAGAAAAATGCAATAAGAAATCAGTTTGAGCGACAGTGATTTAACGTTATCAGCTATCAGAAACCAACACCTTTTTATCGAGCGATCTGATAAAATTTAAAGCCGTTTTCCAACAAGAAAAGCAGAGTTTAGCCATCTTCTGCTACCACACGCACGAGTGACGTAAGGTTGTCAAAGGGCAAAGCACAATAATAAACTTCAAAAAGCACAACGTTTCTGCGTCCAGGAATTAGACTTTAGCGGACAGAACAATGCCTACGATTGTATGTTTCATACCTTAGCATGGGTTTCCTAGATACTGGAAATAAAAAACAGCATGGACAGCATCGGCAAGAGCATCTTCGGCTGCTCTCACGCGACGGAGATTGCGTTACTTTTCACAGATTGACCGCTTACCACCTGTTTTTGGGCTCGCATTTCGACGGAACGCTTGCCTCGAGAGGCGCGCAGCACGGGATCTGAACTCTTCTTCACGAGACATTGAGCTGAATTTATCGGAAATATGCCACCACCAACAACAACATGAGCTTTTTTCGGGTATTTGTCGTTTTTTATGCGAAAAGTTCGGGTAAGCAGATTCTCGCAAAAACCATTTGGCTTAAAAAATGTGTTTAAAAGCCCACCCTGGATTTGAAGCAAAAAGTATTTCCTCGAAATAAGCTAAAAATACCCAATTCACGTGGTGAAAAAATGGATGATTATGGAAGGATTATCGAATTCTTGCCTAACCTGAGAGATTTCCCATGATGTAGGATTAGGGCTAGGAAAAAAGCCCATAACCTGCTCCTGTCGTTGTGAATTTCCTCAAGATAAAAAAATTCAGTAAGAACCGAAAACAACAGCTTAAAGGAGGTGCACACACCTTGAACTAGCCAGGGAAAAGGGGCTTCTGATTGACCTAAACTGTCATTGATGCACGGTGCAATTAGGTAGACCTGTTACTATCCCCCGCGCAACCACATGGGGAGTACTTGAAGCGGTCCTGTCGGGGACTTTCGGGGGTAGGGGGCGGAGCAAATTGAAAATAACTTCTCTTTGTTTTTGTGAAGTACATCATTTCTCGTACGGTTGACAAGGTGACGGCGGACTCCGTACCTTTGGAAAGGCCCTTTTGAAACATGTCCTGGCAACATGCAGGGCATCACGAAATTAACACCTTGAATCAACTCCATGAACAAGGAGAGGCGATAAGTCCCATCTTAAAAGATGCTTGATGTCTAGACGTGAATAGTCTGTCCACAGTCATTTTTCATTTTGTATTTCGGGACCATTTGACAGCGTACGAGTGAACCAGAGCGCAGTAACGAGCCCTAACCCCACCCCATTGCCCTTGCGGTCAATAAATCATCGCGTTTTTCATTTTTTTTTTATGCGCGTTCGAGAACCTCCAAAGGGAATATTGAGGGTCTTTGTACAGTTTCAGTTTATTTTACCGACAAAAAAGAACAAAACAAAGCAAAAGACAAGTATACAGAAACACGCAGAAGCAATGTGGTGAGGAAGCCCAAAAAGAAACCATAAGGCTTAAGTCATCCCCTTTTCGTTCGCTTAGCGTCGAATAGGTTTCCTGGTTTTGGGTAGGTCGGTCGGTGGGGTGAAAAAAAAAAAATCACAAGAAATCTGAGAACGGGAGGCCTGAAACACCAGCATCATTGCCGTGGAGACTGAAAACAACAAGACATGGTCACCAAATCGACCCAAACTCATTATGGCGGAAAATTTGATGGTCAATTTCATAGAAAAAGGCCCAAAAAGGGTAAAAAGCAAAGAGGATACACCACCGAACGTTTTATGCCTCGAAATGATGTTATAATGCTAATTTTTTAGATTAAAAGAATTAATCCAAGTCTAAAAAAAATAAACCTTGTCGTTTCTTTTTCTTGCTTTTTTAAAAAAAGCCAAAAAACTGGGTCTTTTG